CGCGTGACGTCACCGGTATTGTATATACATGCCCCATAGCTGCCATGTGTTTTGCGTACATATCCGGTAACGTCACGCGTTCGCACGCCACTTTGTTTCAAAATGAAATGACAGTAGTGCTTACTTTGTGGAATAAAAGGATAAATACATGGTTTAATATAATATAATATAAAGTTGTGTAAAGTGTTCAAAAAGATAGGTGAGATGTTCATGTAGATAAATAAAACTTGTGTTAAAAAGCACGATCATTTTGCATTTTGCGATCCATTTTTCGTGGGGACAGGTGGTAACAGGTTGCAGTTACGAAATCGAGCTGAAAATGTTCTATAGCCCTGCGGCAGTTTTAAATGAACGCGGGCTATAGTACTAGAGCTACCATACTCATAGACATAGGCCTGATAGTGTCTATGTCCCCCAGGTAGCTCTAGTACTATAGCCCGCGTACCGCAAATTGTGGATACTAACAAAATTGACTTGGAAATAAGTAACAACTCGATACCACAATCGAGAACAGTACAATTTTTAGGTATATATATATAGATCAGCATTTAACGTGGAATGACCATACTAACTATACATAGTACTATTAGTAGACAAGATGAGTACAAGTATTAGCTTCCTCAGACAGATACGGGGTCAACTACACACAAACACAAAGCTACAAATATACTCGTCGCTCTGCCGGTCGCATCTCATATATATATGGATCTAGATGCTTATAAATCTCCCCAAATCAGCTTTAGATAGACTAAACACACTACAGAATTATGCTCTACGCATTATAAGTATAACAGGTTATTCCCACAAAAACACTACATCACAGAGACAGACAGGAGCAGCTACTAGAACTAGAGAGGAACTAAAAGTACCTCCAATCGAATACCTAATTAAATACCACACACTTATATTTATATATATAAATACATCCACCATCTAAACAAACCACTTGGAAATAATCCCCTACCTTACCTGACAAATATTACATTAAATTCAAGGACACTTAAATTAAAACAAATAACAACAAGTAATATGTATGGACACAACTCACTCACTAAGGAGGCAATAAACCAATGGAGTAAACTACCAATAGACACAAAAAGGAAGCCTTCACTTAGCACATTTAAAAAAATGTTAAAAAATACAATTTTAACAACATATAGCAGATAGGAGAACAATGTTGCATTCTGAATGAATATGTGTCTATATTTATATAAATGTGTGTGTCTGTGTGCGTATATGTAATATGTAATGTATGTAATGTGTATATAATGACCAGTGTACGTATGAGTGTCGAAATGGTACCTTAATCACTTTGCTTGTAAAGACTTTACTGAAGTTTTTGTTCTGGTATCTATTTTTTCTTAATGTTGTATGCACTGTTTTGTACTGTATCACTCAGAAAATTTATCATTTTAACTACTCAACACTTGCATTTATCAGTGTGCTTATATTGATTTAAATGTAAGTGTGTGTATGTGTGCGCGCGTATGTGTATGGAATATGTAATGTATGTCATATGTATATAATGGTGTACGTATGAGTGTCAAAAGATGTTAAAGTGTATCTTAATTACTTTACTTGTACAGACTTTGCTGAAGTTTTTTTCTGGTTTCTATTTTTTCTTCATGTTGTATGCACTGTTTTGTACTGTATCACTCAGAAAATATCACTTTAACTGCTCAACACTATTGCATTTATCAGTATGTCCATATTTATATAAATATAAGTGTGTGTATGTGTGCGTATGTTTGTGTAATATGTATATAATGGTGTACGTATGAGTGCCAAAATGATGTTAAAGTGTACCTTAATCACTATACTTGTATAGACTGCTGAAGTTTTTTTGTGTGTATATATTTTTTCTTCATGTTGTATAGCATTGTAATTGTACTGTATCTGTCAGAAATTTTATCATTTTAACTACTCAACACTATTGCTTTTATCAGATTTTTACTCCATGAAAAAAACTGTTGTCAGTACATGTATTTGTATCTGAATTCATGCAATAAAGATTTAATAATAATAATAATAATAATATATATATATGTGTGTGTGTGTGTGTGTAAACGTATATATTTATATATTATTTCAACTTCATTGTTGTAGGTTTGATCGTTAGTGATGGAAGACAGCGAGGGACAGGTAACAGATGCACTCCCCACCCATGGACAGGTAACGGATGCACTTACGAGCCAGGGACAGGTAACAGACGCACCGACCAGCAATTTACAGGAAACGGGTTCAATCACGACTCATGGACAGGTATCTCTTACCAGTAGATGGCACTCACCAGAATCACAGGAGAAGTCTCCTTCAAAGTCATCTGAGAGCGGCAGCAAGGCAGCTGCAGGTGTGTACCCTTAACTACATTATAATCACTGTGCAAATGTTTTCCTCACTTTCACACATTGGCCACAACAGCATGGAAGAAAATTGAGTTAAAGACATCGATAAATTAAGTACAGATGTCGCCTGATTTTTGGTCCTGTTGGTGTTACCTCCACTTCAGCATTACATCTCTATTCTCCCCACCATTAAACTATCCCATACATGACTACTCTTAAGCCCCGGTCACAACGGATCGTACGAAATTTTGTCATGGTGGACCCATAAAATATTTGTCGTGGCCATATCTTGCAACATGCCCAAAATGTATTTCGAGTGGTCACAAGGGCTACGACACATCAAAGATGGTTTGGCGATGGGGACGCGACAGAAAAAAAAAGATATGTCGTGGTTATGTCGTGGGTGTGTCGCAAGTCGGTCGTGAGTTGTCGGGCATTGTCGGGGGGCTGTTTTTCACGTGAACAGGTCGTGGTTCATTCGTGGGATGCACGTGCTACAGTCGTGCGACTGGCGCACAACAGTCGTGGGTCACTCGTGAGTCACTCGTGGGTCACTCGCGCGTTTGTCTCCCGACTATATAACGAGGCCCGGTCTGTTGCCTGCCATTTGCTGCAGAGATTTTCCAGTGGATACATCGAAGTTCTGCCCGAATTTTTGACATTTGTCACTTCATTTAATCAAAGTTAGTATCCAGGATGCCTCTCTAGAAGAAAACCAACAAGAGAAAGGTGGTAAGCCTAGCAGTTGGCCCTTGGTGATGCGAGGGGCGACACTCAGCAACAGGTCGTGAAACATGCCAGACTCCATCCGCATGAACCCCTCGAAGTCACCGGCAGATTCCCGCTCCAACTCTTGCATCAGAGTACTATACTGCCCAAACATCAGGCG